TCGGTCTATTACTGACTACGCTGACTCTTCTGCATGTTCACATCCACAGTTTTACTTCCGGATATAGCAATTTTCCTCGATGACGCAAAACTGAACGCGTGTTCTAGTTTCTTTCGGCGCGTGGGAGGCGTACTGCCTCCGCTCTTATTAGCGAAAGCTTCGCAGGCCAAATATCCCATGGATGAGCATGCCAGCCTCAAGCTAACTGCGCTATTCCCCTTCTAACCACCTCGAAGATGTTCCACTAAATTTTTATTTGCGCTCCACTTGCCTGTTTGCCACTGATGTTTGCGCTCCTATGCTCCCTACACTCGACCCTGTACTGTCACGAGTCCGCCTTAGCACTCTGCTGACCACCTGTCCTTTCCCATCAGTAGGTGTCTGTGTGCGTGTCTGCTAGTCGAATAACGCTACTAGAGGAACCTTTTGGACTGACTGGGGGGGGCCACTGGAATCTAGCAGGTCACTTAATAAAATCCGGTCCCATTCAACCAAACAAAGGGATTTTGACAATGCCCTGCGCCGCAAGGAGCACCAGCTAAAGGCAGGAAAAACTGGCGACTCACGGTAGAAGCGGATGGAGCGTAATCAGTAAATTGTCATCCCGAAAGGGGTTGTCGAAGTTGGTCTTATTTAATTAAAAGGAAAGGCATTTTGCAGGAGCTAATGGGCTTCTTTAAACACATAGAGTAATCCAGTGTATCTCTTTTACACCTTATGAAACTTACTTTATTATCCAACTTTTACAGCTTTTGATGACAAAACTAAGTGATTAGGCTGTTGGTAACGCGCTATATGAGCAAGCTTTAAGAGTGGGAAACGTTTTTGAAACAGCGGAGTTTTAGCTTGAATAATAAGGTGGGCCTAGCAAATAGCAACTATTCGGCTCTCACTAACTTGTGGCCAAATTTCGTCTTCGTAAAATAACATTGGGAACTCAGATTTTAAGTCTTCTATCCAGATTGTTTGTGAAGAAATGCTAAGTGGCAAGTTTGCAATACCACAATATATTTATATTGTTCGATTTGTCCACCATCAGAGATTGTAGCATTTCTCAGTTGTGCAGTTGATTTATCTTAAAAATTAACGCCATTTGTTCATTGAATTCAAAATTAAAATAACATTTCATTCTCAACTTTGTGTTCGCTTATAAAAAGGGGCAAGGTACATCACACCGACATGTACGAAATGTTGAGGAACATGGAACCACCCGTTGGATTTGGGAAGAAATGTCCTTATCGTCTGGCATACAGGGTAAGACAACTCTTTTTGACTATTTTCCGTGCTACCAATCGAGACAGCTGTACCACTGCCCTTATTTCTGCTTCTTGTTGCAAACATCCTTAGCAATTGAGTAAAATCATCGTGGTATTTGAATCAGGTGTGACGCTCCCAATAGTCATTTGAATTAGTTGACATCAGAACCGTATTCTTCACAATAAAGTCTAGGTGGAATCGCAACTTTGCTTACCCGCATGACAGGAGCTCGCAAGTATAGGCAGAGCGTAAGAATGACAGACTCAGGGGGTATGGCTAATCCCCAGGCAGTATTTGTGGGATGCTGGAATAGAAAATAACACGTCCCAGTCAAAGATTCTAGATCGCCTCTACCAGCCCGTGGTGATGAAAGTTAGGAGTGGCTAATTCAAACGTCAGGCACTCAATAAAGGCTGCTGCTGCTTCTTCTTCTGGTATCCTAACTGAAAATTACAATTTTCATACGAAACATTTTCGGTTTTCTTATTACTTCGCAATCCCTAGACTTATACATAGTCCTAATAAAATGAAGAGTTTTAAATTCTGAATTTTAATATATTCATAAACCACAAGTGAAAATAGTCTGTTTAACGTCACCATGTCAAAAGGGCGCATTCCAGAGCAGAGATATCAAGTGATAGTTAGTTTAGTACGCATGTATCAAAGAAACTGAGGGTTCAGGGCAGAAAATTGGTCAGGAAGGGGAAGAGCCAAGCACATAAACACTTTGGAAACTGTTGTTTTCATTAATTCTCCATCAGGCTAATACATTTGCAGGGATAATGAAAATTGTACAGTTGGACAGGGTTAATAATAATTGTACTTTGATTACAACTCATCGTTTTCACGCCGCCCACATGGCAAGGTCGGCGTGTAGAGATCCTTGTGCTGGGGAAGGGGGGAGGTGAAGGAAATTGGGTTGGGTTTTGGGCATTGGTCAGGTATCAGGTGCATGGAATGCTAACTACTGTCATTTGCACGGAGCGAACGACTGTCACTAGGGGATAGGGGCGATGTGCGATCGCCACCTGGTGCCGGGGTCGGCCACGGAAGTAAAAATGCTTGTGGTAGCGTCTCCTGGTCTGATTAGGAGTTGCTGAAAACATATGTTTGCCAAATCGACTTTTTTATTATTCTTGAATTCACACTTATTGTCTCACTGTGTGCCTAAACAGTAGTACAGCACCAGATCTTATTCGGGCAAGTTAGTGGGTCTGTGAACTCCAGCCTCATTTTCTCTCGAATCCTGGTCTCAAGTCCCGTTCAAGCTTTTTCACTCACCGCTCAAGGCAAGGTGGTCTAGAAATAAGTCGAGAGATTTATGGGCTTCCTGATCACTGACCAGTATGGTGGGACTTGAGCGCTACAATTTTAATGTTTGAAGCACGTTGAACGAAGAAATATGATTCTGAATTTCGCGAGGATCGTTCACCCAATAGGGGGCATCATGTTGCAAGCAAACTTATGTGCCATGGATACGAAAGTTAGGATATTTAAATTAGCCGACGACCAAATTAATTTTTTTTCTTCCGAATTCTCAGTTACTTTTTCTATTTCTGAATATCCCCCTCTAAACAGCTCAAAATGTTTTTCATCAATGAATGCATACAGTATTGTGCAAAATGCCGAAATTTGCGAATAATTTATAGTCACTCGCAAACCGGCATTAATGCATGTACGAAAACTTTGAAATACTAATGAATAACTTAAGCGAATTTAAAACTTAAAGGAAATATTAAATTTCAACAGTTGGTTTCGAAATACCAACTTAGTAAAAAAGTTTCAACTCCCGAAAATAAGAAAAATCGCTGTAACAGTGACCAATAAATGTAACTATAATTGTGAAAAACGTTACAAACATACCACTTTTTTATATGAAAGGAACCTCATTTCGTCAAAGTTCTTAACAGACATTTCAATTATTGGATTACAATTAGTTTCACGCCGTTTTCGGAAGTTCAGCGAATATTTTAGAATGCTCCGTGCCCAAAGTTTCCTTCCCATAAAGTCGTATATTCACCTCAAATTCAAACTTAAGTTCAGCCTGCGCAGGTTTGATGCTTGACGCTGAAAATTCACTATTCTAATCACTAATGCATACTTCAGTAGTTTGTTTAAGAGTGTATCCACATCAGCTTTTCCTATATAATCCAAATTTGTTTCCCCTAGCGAAGGAGGCCAATGTTCTTATCGCGCTTTCAATCCCGAATGAAAAAGGTGCAAAGAAAATTAGCCAATATTCGCAAGCATCAAAATCTTGGGAAAACTACTTTACAAAGCTCATATTTTATACAAACTGCAAAATTCTCCTTTTCCCTGAATAAAAGTAACTAGAACCTATGCTGAAGTTCACGTGACAACTTTAACATCAATAATAGATAAACTTTTTTGTCAAATGAATCTGAACTGACTTTCTGCTGCCATAGTATTTTTTCCGGGAAACTTCTCGTTTATCATGTTTTCCTGCAGCATCTTAACTCTGTTAGGTTTTCGCTGGACATTTTCCAGGACTTGTTATTGAGAAGTAGAAGACGACTCGATCTCAAATGCGCCTGATGTTCGCTCATGCAACCATTATTTCGAATTTGGCTGCCATTTCTAATGCTGAGATCCCACGGTTCATGCTCCTGGATACCACCTCTTTCGTTACACTAGACTTCCGAAAGCATACTGCAAACTTCACCGATTGACTCACACACTAGCAACTGTTAACCGTTGCCAGAGTGTCAGAATGTTTGCATTTTAGCGTCTGCAAAGCTCAGTCCACCAAGTATGGATGCTGTAGTTAATCAAAATGAGCACATTTAATTATGCCTGGATTTTACTTTTTAACTGAGTGGAATATAAAAATGGGTCTCTTTAGAAGCTAATTCGGATGAACATGCCTGTGGATGAGAACGGGATGGTACACTTTACCACTACCCTATTCGCCCTGATTCGGGAGTCTCTGGGCATTAAGATCGGGCCAACGGAATTGATGGACCAGCGGGACAACGAACTGCGTTATTGTTTGTGCAGGCTCTGGCCAGTTCAAGCAAAACGAATGCTCAACATTCTAGTCCCACCTGATTCGGGTGAGTATTTTACAACTTCTGCATGTCGTGAATTCTTTTTTGATTTATCCTGGCACAAAATGAATGTTCGTCGATCACCAACGGAACTCAGTTGCCCCCCTCTGCCTTGGGGCAGAGTCCCACCAGCAGCCACAGAGCGGCTCGGAGTTAAGGCAGATAAAATTGCAGAAAAATACATGGGAGACTTGAATAGCCATTTCTGGCGCATTAGCCGTCATCAGCCGGTCATACCCAACCCCAAGTGGTGCACCATCCGAGATTCGAACGTTAGTATGGCTATACCAATAATAACTGTTGATAAATGGAAAACCAGGCTAAAAACTATCTACCAAACCTTGAAAATTGGGCACATACGATGTTCATGGATCCTCTGCTTAAAAGGATAAAGGATTGGTAACATTATTTACAATGGTACGTAAACGCACTTATCCAGTACCTTTGAGAATCCTGTCAAAATTATCCTAAGTACATAGAGCACAATGGACAAATAGTAGAAAGTAATCGGTTTCGTAGTTACTGGGTTGAGTTTAATGAGAGCGCTGCGATGACCTCTTCGCGGGCACTCTCATTATCATTTTAGCGTTAATTACTTATGGTGAAAACGCTTACGCTAAACACCTTTAGCCTCTTGTAAAATATATTCACTGGATTACACCAGACACCAAATAGCCTGAAGTTCATTCAACTAATGTGCATCCCTTGTGTGCAAGGCTCTATAGATGCAACAGTTAGAAGGCATAAAAGTGTCTTTTTATGACCGCTTTCATCTTTGCGGTAGAAGTTAACGTGACAGTATAAAGGGTGTAGGCGCGGGTCCAGTTTTACTCAAAATTATTAATTTCGCCTTTGCCCATCTGCTAGCTAACATTTTTTTTACCTTGGACAGAATTAACATACTACAAAATGACGGTGGGGAAGATATATGCGGGCCTGCTCATTCTCGAAAACCACAGGCTGGAGAAGCAGCCTCAAGGCAGGGACCAGTCAGTAAGTCTAAGCGACTGTTCTTATTAGTCGTTCATCGGTTTTGGCTCGTTTTTTACCTAAATAGCGCTGCCCTGGTGGTATGTCCAGGCTGGCATTTGCGCCCTAAAATAACAGTGTCTTTCTTGTCTGGAATGAAAGACAGGATGAAAAAAGAGTATTTTCGAGGAGTGTTGAATAGCACTGGCAGGCAGCAAAGTTTATTCGATTAAGATTGTAACTTAATCCTTTCTTCTTAACAAAAGCTAACTGCTCTCCTTTCAAACAACTGTTATGTTCAACAAGACGAGGCCCTTTCTCCTGTAGAAAAAAATTTTCAATAAGCCACTTACTTTTCAGTCGATATTGGTGCAAATATACGTCACCATAAGCGTAGGCTGAAGTATTTTATGTGTCGCTAACCCAAATAACATGACTGCAACAAGACGGAAAGTTTTATAAAGTAAAACGTTTTATTTATTCCCGTCGGCTTGGAGTACGGTACCGGAGGACATACATGTAAACGCCGAAATTCGCGAAGGAATCATAATCAGTCGCACACCGGCATTAAAGCATGTTCGAAAACCTTTAAATAACAACGAGCAACCTTAAACGAATTCAGAACTCAAAAGGACTATATAAGTGTTGATAGTTTTTTCAGAAGAATCAACTCTGAAGAAGCTTCAAGTAGCGAAAATGTCAAAATGGTTAAAAAGTTGAAAAAATGTAAATATAATCGTCAGGTGAAATCGTAACCATACCCTTCTCTTTATACTAAAATAGGTTTCTTCTTGTCAAATTTCTTTATAGACGTATCAGGCATTGGATTACAAGTAATTTCAGGTCGTCCGTTAATTTCCGGCACTGTGTCCACGACTTTCGATGCTTTAAGCTCCCTTCCATAAATGTAGATTATGTTCGACGTGGATATCAGAACCCTCAATTTAAGATACTTCTTACAAAACGTGACTTTTTGAATACGCGACAGTTCGCCCGTCGCAAGTGACGACATCCACTGATGCCCATTGAACAAGCCTTACAACAGTGATTTGTGTGGGAGAGTTAGTCTATAGGGAGGTAGCTGTGGGCTGCATCTACCACACTGTCACTTACCTAACCTGCCTGGCTATGATAGAGATGCAACGTCAAGACGGCCGACTATGAGCTTGGGCGCATTGGCTTACTAAGCTAAAAAATCCGTCTACACGTGCCACCTACGATCGGATTCCCAGTTCATACACCCAGCCGTAAAACACGCCATTATAGGCAGAAGAAATTTGCCGTCAAAGATAAGGGAGACTAAAATGGCCCTCTCCGGCTAATTAGCCATCATCAGCCATCCAGCCATAGTGAACTCCAGCTAGTGCACCACCCGAGACTCGGGCCCTCGACCTGTTAATTGGAATTCTAACGTCCTACCCCTTCATGGACAGGGTTACGGCTAATATTTGTTTTAGGATTCGGACATGGAAATATGAACACCTTCTGGAATTTAGCGCAAGGCCATGTGCATTACGGGAGGGTGTTCCTATTTTTCTGTCCGGCTATGATTGGGGAAGTGATGCACATAACTTATTCCGACCACAACGTTGTCCCTTTTTGTATAATCGCGTAGAAGGCCCCCAAAATCCAGTTGAATTTGATTTCCGTATCATCGAAGACTTCCACGGGGGTGACATAAACACTGCGATGTTGGTAACTTCGTTGCGGCCAGATTGTGGTGTCGTGGTCAATAGATTTGTTGCCACAGGCACGGTACTCCTCCCACGATGTCAATCTTTATGGGAAAGGAGAATCAGACATCTCATTACCCTGCCCCTAAACTTCTATGCCCGATGAAGGTGTGGCATCTTACCAAAATCGCCCGTTGTGTTTCATTGAGCAAGTATTCCCACCTGACAGCTAACAGGTCCATCTTGCAGTTAATTAGTTCCCGGGTAACCAGAGTTGTGCTCCTTTCCGCCTTATTGGTTATTCATTTGGCTAGAAGAGAAAGAACGGTCCGAGCTGCCAGATTAAGCAGTCAAAATACAGTGACCTTTGAGAATTCACGAAGACGTAGAGGGGGTGTTGTGTGGTTTAGTATTCCGGCCGTATATTTTGCGCTTAGAAGCCATGGCACACTCACCGAAAGAATATCTGGCAAACGTAATTCATGTAGTGCACTTCATATACCCCTAATCCCAAAATTTTGTCCTACGGAGACGGTGATTATAGGGTTTTTTGGAGTGGAGAAATAGGATAGACAGTGAAGGATATTTTTAGAAGTAAGCGAAAATTGAAAAAAAATGTAGTTGAATTTGTTTCCCGCGGCCGCTGGGAGTAAGTCCTTCCGCATGTAAACTAAAGGTGTGCGCGGCGCTTTGCGCCGCAGACTATTCTAATCTAACTCCAGAACGGTTAGTTGGACCGCAGGTTAGTGGAAGTAGGCGACTTCCTAACCACCATTTCTATTTTTCAGGAATTTCAAGAAACCTGCAGTTTGATAA